ACACATGAATATGGCTACCGAATGAAAAAAAAAAAGAAATATAAAGTAGCATTTGCCTTATGGACTTCTAAATTTATTCCCGATTTACCTGATACATACTATATAATATACCTAGAGCTCAGTATGTCATAAATAATCCAGCGATACAGTTTAATTTAAAGGGAATTTGGTTACAAAACACACCATAATTTCAAATATATTTTATATAAAGATATCTCAACCTATGATAATATTTTATTTGAAAACAATAATTCGCACTGAATATTTTAGAGAAGAATATTGATAGTGTAAAAGAATATATTTAAGAGTTAAAAGAAGAAGTTTATAACGGAACTTACAATTTAATCCAATAACAGAGTCTTTTCATTTTCTATGGTGGGAAGCTATCCATGAACATAATTTATTAATGAATTCTTATCTTCCCTACTACCAGAGGTAGGGAAGAGATGTTCAAAAATAGAACATGGGATTTCTAAGGATAATATTGTTTGCGCAAAATTCACACCCGGTCAAAGCCGGATGATGTGACTAGTAGCAAATACTATTAACTAGTACAATATTTACCCGAAATTGGCATAGTGAGATTTATTAATTGACTAAAACTATTTTATTCAAAATTCAGAAAAAGAGAAGAGAATAAGTATTTAAACAACCACATCATTGAGCAATTATATTTATATAGGAGTGTGAAAATAAAATCAGTGTGAAAATAGACATCATATATTGACAGAAGAGGTGGGAATTTTGAAACATAAAGACTTGCTAATCACTCCCTTCATATTATATCACATCAAATTTCGAAAATCACAATGATCTTCTCCGCCTCTTTTATGTTTACTCATACAAATCTAAATATTCAATAAGGGTATTCGAAATATTTTCTCTTAATAGGAATTTAATATAATATTTTTAAAAATATATTTATTATAGAATATAATTTATTACAAATGATTAATACATTTACAAATTTGATCGTATCCAAATGATTTCTAAATTTTCAACTCACACAGGTTCCTGAGGCACATAACGTTATTCACGCCATCAGAATGTGAGGAGTTAAAATATATACACAAAACTTAAATAAATATTAATATATTAATAAATATTAACTTTAAACCAAATATTTTATTAAGGTTATATTATTTACACACTAAGATATATTGAATATATATATATTTTTTAATATATTGGGAACTATAATATATTTACACAAACATATATTTTAAAAGACCTTTACATACATATAATTGTTTTGAAAATATAGCAATCCATAAATAAATCTTCAATTAAAAAGGCATATATTGGATCAAAATATCATTTATTTTACCAATATTTCAGTTCACTGAATGCCAACCTTTATCTTACATATAATTATGAAGTATATATTATAAATTTCACAAACGAGAGGCACAGAGGTAGATTGGCGTACAGCCTCTTTATAGGATGCAAGTCGAAAAAACGCTACAGAATGGGGGGGGTTACCTTCTCCATTTGTAAGGTAATATACTAATTCTATTCTATATAGAAGTCTGTATAGATGTTTGACATTTTGTATTGTTATCAGAATTGAACGAGTCGAGGAAACACCAGACATCTGCCACTCTGGAAACACATTAATATTTTTCACAAGAATTATGAGGGAAAATATAGAAATTAGATCATTACAAATCACTACGACTAACTAAGAGTTGAGAATTTACACTTGCATTGTTATCAGGATTGAGCATGTATATAAGTATAAGTTCATACGTGTTCTATAAGTATATTAAAAATATTTTTCGCACGATTTGTGATCAGACAGACGTAAAAGCAAATTAATTATTTGCCCTTTAAAATAGAGACATTCTCAGAATGAAAGAGCCCATGTAAATAGCAGTGGGTAAAAAAATTGTAGTGTGATATAATCAGAATGAAGCCCGACCTGCTCAAATACGATGCCCCCATAACAGAATAGACGAGTTAAGGAAACCAGAAAGACCCAAAAGGATGCAACCGATCAAAACAGCCGTTAGTCTAGGATGACCTAGAGAACCTTACACTCAAGATCATTATAGAAATCGCCATATAACCCATATTATAGGGGGACTCAACTCTCATTAATAGAAGAGGATAATGGAATGAATATTATTGAGAGAAAATTGAGTCTTCCCCCTAACTATCGATTGATAAAAACTGGTATTCAGATAGACTTTGTTCTTTCGTCTAAAGTTAACATTCCGATATATCGATCTGCAGAACGCCACCTTCAGCGTCAGGGACTTATAGCATCTATTTAAAAACTCAAAATATATTCCAACATCAAATCTAATTTTTCGAACGAAAATATCTAATAAGGAAAGGAATATACCAGGAGGTACCTCAAGACAAAGCCTCTAACCAATAGTTCATTTTTTAATGAGAAATTTGATCAGAACCCTATCTAGGTAATGATATACCAAGGAAGTTATTCCAGCAAAATTCGAGAGAGGAAAAAGATTTATATTTATATTTATTTATCGCTGGCCTTCGGCAGAAATCAGTTATTCAATCAAGAAATTCCTTTTTATTTAAAACTGCACCCAATTTATTATATATTTTGAAAAACTAAATTCAGAATATATGGTACGAAGGTTATTAATATGGTACAAGCTTAAATAAGGAATATTAACTCATATATCTTTTTTATATTGCGATATAAATATTTAAAATATTAAAGGCTTATCCTGATCTAAAACACATGTGCTTTTTAGATGGCAGAGCGCCATCTAGTGGAGCAAATATAAATTATATATGTAGTAAACCCGGGTAAGCCAACAAGCGAGTTGGAAGCAGTCGGAGTTGTGTGGCAAGGCGTGCAGAGTGGGAAGCCCGCACGGGACAGTAAGGACAAAGTTTGGGATCAAAAGACGCTCTCCTAGGACGTCTCAAGTGGCACCAGGACCGGGGAAAAGTTGAGTACTACCAGAGGAAAGCTCGGCGTCCTGCCTGAAGCCGCCTGGGCAGGGAGGAGCCAAAACGGCGGCCACGATCACCGCCATCTAATGGATCAAAAATAAATTACAGTTTATTTAACTTGCTCCGTGATATTTGGCCAACCCAATTTCTTGATAAATCAAGAAAAGCCATCCACGATGCTTTTGGTCAGGATATGCTATTATTATTTTTAATATCAACACCTGACCTTTTTATTTTTTATGTTTTCTATTGTTTTCTCATATATTTATTATATTACCACTTGTATCAATATAAAATAACGTTTTCTAATAATAAAGTGAAAATAAATTATCTCTCTCTTTCTCTAAAATATAATTTTTATATTATTTATTCGACAACACTTTTTAGATTTTCATTTTTTTAAATTCATATATAAGAATGTTACTTTTACTTAACATTGATTTATTCAAATGATCTCTAACTTGAAAATGCTCTCTCTATATAATTCCACATCATATTATATGAAAGTATGATATATGCATGTAACAGCGGTGTAAAGAAGATAGAAAGTATGTAAGATGGCGTCGTTTCAATATCTGGTTTCCTAGAGTCGCGGCCTTCGTAGATCAGATGTGACAATGGAACAATAGGACACAGTCAGTCTAGCACTGCAGTACAGATAAGACAAGGGAAGGGTGACTTATCATCTCGACCGTTGTTTGAAACTGAGACCAGATTGTCTCGCTGGACTCCCTTGGTCGATATGGATATCGCGGACTGAGGAACTTATTCTTTGTAGATATATTAATTTTTTTGTGTGTAGACAGACTTTAGTTTATTTTGATGATATTACCGTATTCTTTAAAATAAAAGACAATTTCATCAGAATTTTTTTTAATTTTAATGCATTTAATTTTTTAAAATTGTTATCTTTCCAGACGAGGATAAAAGATATTTGACGAAACGTTTATAAAATAAAAACAATTTACTGGACGGAGTGTTATTTATTTCAAAGAACTATGAATGCCGGCCAGTAAATTCTATCTTCAAGATGTTGTAATTCTTTTACAGAATACATTTTTCAATTCATGGCTTTTTTCCAAAATATCTTTATTATACATTAAAATAAGTTACTCACACCGTTATATATATATATATATTCCATCTAAGTTTATTTATATACAATTCTTTATATATATTTTTAATAATCTTAATAGATAATAACAAAAACACTTATCGTGTATTTATTTAAAAGGTAAATTTTACATGTGACCTTTTGAAAACCAGACACTATTTTGACATATCAGCATGTTGTAGAAATTAATAAATTTCCCGAATTTGTTCGGATGTTCAAATATATTCATTCTAATCTAAAGTACATTTTTATTGTTCCAATCTATTCTCTCTTCCAACCACACACGGCGGGTCAACTTCTTTTAAGCTGTCCAGCTTCTGTTGCGCTGTATACAAACGGCTCGGTTTGATAGATTGAAACACTCTAACCCTACTTGCACGTCCATCCTCTTTAGAATTGCCACCGGCCTGGAACTACCTGCTCAACTTGTTCACCGTAGCAAATTGACCAATATATTTCTAGAATTTACTTCTAGAATATTCTGCAGTTCAGCTGGAGTAACTGGAATTATGAGTTATTTCTATCATAATTACAATATATATACACGTATACTTGTACAATTATTATTCCTACTACACACGTTGTTCATGACATGATAATCATGATGGATTATTTTACTGCAAGTGCATCAAATGTCTATACATATTTAAAGAAGTTTGACATTTAGACTTACAAAGCCCGAGTCCGGTTTAGTTACTTGCACTCATTGGTGGGTTTAAAATGATGCATTATCGCGTCATCTCTTATAAGAATTTTTAACTATTTTTGAAGCGCATGATGCTCTTTAAAATAAATCAATTTTCTATATACAATTTTAAATCGAATATATATAATAGTCATCCAATCAAATTTTATTTAGTAAAGTTTGCAATGTGGGATTCGATCCGAGATGTGGCTGTAGGTAAATCAATATCTTACATTACTCCACCACCACCACCAACCCTTGTTGCTACGCCTACAGCATCCGGTGTTCCCAGGTGGTCACCCTCCCAAGTACTTACCGACGTTGCCGAACTTCAGTGATCAGACGAGAACCGATGTTGTCAACGTAAAATATGACCGTTTGTATTAGTATTTAGTGTAATAGATTCATAATAAAAATATAATTGAATATTTTGCTATATAATAGTTTTTGTGAAAGACACCATCTTTAAAGAGGGCAAATTTACTCTCGAAATATTGAAAGAATAAAAATATCTCTAAATTCAATATATATGAATTTATTTCTGATTATAATTATTAGTATGAATTGCCTAATATTTTAAATAATTGGATATATACTTCTGTCGAAAATACTCTGTACTTATTGTTCTTTAAAACATACTAACAAATAGTTTTGAGATTGTTTTTATATATTTTTCTATATTTTAGTTAAGTGTAAATTTATTTCCCATGAATATTTATGAGAGAAATCGAGAAATTGAATAATAAAACTATAAAAATGAAAGACTTTTCAATTATAAATATTAATTATACAGAAGAGATTATTTTTTAAAGATCATTTGTTGTTTTGTGTTGATTTGAAGAAAAACACAGCCACATCAAGAAAAAGTTTATTTTTACTCCCGACGTTTCACTCTTAGTGTCAGGAGTCACACGCACGTGAACACACACACAAAAAAAACTATTGGTTGATGAGAAAATATTATGTCTACCAAAAAAACCTATTCTCATGTAAATATGCATTAGAACAGCTTATTATGTTAATCACCCCGGTGACAAACTTAACGGTAATGGTAAATTATGAGAAACAACACAAGTTTACAAAAATTCGGGGGAATACCAACAGGTAGAAAAGGAGTATTTTAAACGTATTTTCTCGATATCTTTCGAATTCAAAGACATAATATATGTGCCCACAGAAAATAAATAAATAAATAACCAAGAAATGTGGGTGAAGTCGCCAACCACTGATAAGAAAGAGATGAAGTCAGTAAATTAGAGTCGGTAAGCGAATAATCCATTCGACTTAGCAAGTTTTCAACGGGAGTTTACCCATTTATTTCTGAGAGATAACCTAAGCTCAGGATTAACCCTCAATTTAACAGAGAGTATTTTGGTTTTCCATCATTCCTCCTGATTTAGAATTTGTCTTTTCCAAATATATTATTTGGAAATTCATATTTTTTTAAAAATAAATATACATTATATGATGCCATTTATTTTCTACAAACGGAAAAGTATTTATATAAAAGTAAAATATAAAGTTTAATTGACAAATTTAATTCTTAAAATTAGATAACACTCATTTAAAATAGAGAGAATTTAATTTAGAAAAAATGACTTTCTTATGTTATCTAAATAAGATTGTATATAATATAGAACACTTAGTTCTATATATGTAAATATGTTTAATTAAATTGGAGCTAATAATGGGTTTCGATGTTTTACTGAATATTTTACCATTTAATATGCGATTGAGGTCCACCGACAATTTATTTTAGTCATATAATTATTTAATGATAGGGGGTAGCTATAATCATTTATAATTTCAGCGCTATTTAAATGTTAGACTGCCAAATAATATTGTTTAATGGCAATATATAAGCCGAAAATAATATTTAATATATTTAGTGAAACACTTTTATGATGGTGTTTTAGAATATAAAACCTTGTCTTTAAAATTGAAAATCTATGAATATTTACTCATAGTATATTTATAAGTATATATATATATATACGTGTGTGTGAAAAAATATTACAATTTTGAAATTGTACTGGGATAAGGAGAATAAATTAAGAAAAAGGTATCTCATTGCTCAAATGAAAGTTACTGATAGTTTGCGCCATCTATCGGAATAAATATCAAATATTCGTTGATATTAGTTATTCCAGAATTGACCAAATATTCATTCTTTATTAAAATATAACTACGTACGCGTTTCTGGCTTCTCCCTCGTTAGTATGGCGCAAGCTGTACCTCACCGACCAAAAATACAGGTCATTCAAGCCTTCTGAAAAATCATGAAACGGGTAGTTAAGGCCGGAAATGCATGATAACGCGAATCAATGTGGAAAAATAGTACAAATGTGAAATTGTACTTTCGGGCTGTTGGCCCACATATGGGGATGTGTGTAAAAAATGTACTACGGCATGTACTGAATGCTCTGTATTTAATATTTATATATATTACAGTCGTTTTTTATGGGATTTTGAAAATATTTCTTCAAAAATACTAGATTCTCTACAAACAGATATCACACACATATTGAGAACAGATATCAATATAGTTTGTCGAGTCATATTTGAAGAGTTACGCAAATAATCAGATATGACTGTTACCTATTTCTTAATGTTCTAGGGAAATTAATTTTTATAAGTCGCGAAAAGAAACTGGATTAATCGTTGCCCATTAAATATTTGAAGTCTTTTTTACCGCATTTGGGATAAATTGGCTAGAGATAATCCATTTAAGAAAAACAGATTATTCCATTTGAAGGTTTTTGATACCAAGTTCATTGTTCCGATTCTCTTATTACTTTATAGAAACATCAAATAAACTCTCACAGCGAAATTGTACAAGTTACGGCATCGTAAAAAATAATACATCAAAAGAAAAAGCAATGTATTGACAAAGTTCTTATATCTGAAAGTTAGAGTGATATCAAGTACACTGAGCCTTATGTACCTACCAATATCATTGAACTTCGGTATGACTGGGCGGAATACTGAATTATGCCCTATTAGGGAAATAAATGAGGGAATAGGCAATAAGCTAATTCTGAGAACACTCTTGGTGAAAACAGATAAAGATATAAAATTAATGAAAACCCCAACTCCAACATACAGTTTAATTTTAATTAAGTTAAATTGAATAATTTAAATCGAGTGCTGTGCTTAAAGTAGAATTATATTAGATAAAAAAAATTAATAGGTGAACGAGAAATTATATCTCGCCTAATAGATATGCATATAGAAGAAATCCAATGGAACAATAACCTCAAGCTACATAGTCGCTAGATCCCGCTAGAACGCAGCCTCAGGACTACTTATATGAGCAAAAGCCGCATTTTATGACGAACTATTGGTTGCTAAAGACTGAAATATATAGTTATAGGCAAGGTGTCATTAAAGCCTAAAGAGGAAACCGAAGATGCAATATCTTTCCCATGTGATACCTGAAAGGAAACTCAATAAGGTCACAAGGCGGTCAAAAAGCTTCGTGGAATTTTAATATCGGCATCTAAAGCAGAAATATATGACCTTTGTTTCAAGCCACATCGATACATAACGGGTAGGGTCTGATTTGACACATATGGGCTCGATATAGGCGACAATAATGGACAGTAACGGAGATGAAACTTTTGGCCTTTTATATTGGTCGATTCGACCTTATAGCACACCGAGGGTTGGAAAACCTGGTTCTCGGGTCAGAGAGCACGGGAGCTGGATGGTTTGTAAAGAGAAGGAACATTATGCTCATGTCATTACATGAATGGCGGTGCTTGGTCTGGAATATCTGGCTCTTTGCATACTCCAAACCTCAGGGCTGCATAATTTGTTTCTAGTCATTGGGCGCAGAGTTCCTGAATACCGTCATTATGTAAAAGGCCGCATAGAAACCTTGAAATTCAAATAAGTTACTATGCCATTTTCTCTATTAATATTTTAGTAGGCACGAGTTCTACTAAAATATTTAAGGAAAATATCAAAATATTATTTTAGAGCTTAGTTCGGTAACTCTTTATCATGATGCAATCTACCTTAATATAGATTTTAGCTAATATTTTCCAACCATCTATTTATATAAATTGGATGTCTGTCAGTGATACACGGTTTCAACTCGGAAAAGGTTAGAAGTTGAGGCTTGATTTTCTGAGCTATTATTAATGAAATTGAGGGAAAGAGAAATAAAAAAGTTTTCAGGTTTATACTTACAATAAATTTGAAATTAAAAACCAAAAACACTATAAAGATCAATAATTTATACAGATGCATCAGAGGGCAATTTGCGAGGGAGCGATTCACATAGTTTCCCAACTTCAGCCTTTTTCGAAGCCACCTATTTATGGTGGGAGTATTCAGATTTTCTAATTCTGCCAAGTTTAACTAGACACAGAGCATCTATAATTCTAAAAACAATGAATGAGCGTTTTAAAATTCATATTTTCTAATTTAGAGATTATATGGGAGAATATATTTTATCTCGAGTATTGTGCTTTTATTTGAAGAAAAAAAAATGTTACTAAGCAATAACGCGCCATCTATATATATAAAATGAAAGGATTAAAAAGCACGAATGTTTCTTTTATACACAATACAAACTTCTACTGTCCTTACTGCGATGAAAAAATATATTGGGAGGGCTTGGCTCTTCAGTGGTGAACCCTCCCAGCGGTTTCGCCAATTTAATCCACCAGACCGCTTCTCAGACCGCTTGTGTAGAACGATAATTTAAAGATAATAAAGATAAAAGCAGATATAAATCAAGAATAAGGCATATCCTTATCGTGCAACTAAAATTTGCTGATGGCTTGCGCCATTCAATATGACAGCGATCAAATGAATTAATAATATTATTAATATTAATATTAATAAATAAGGAAAGCGCCTATCCTTCATTTATATATAATTCGAAAAATATAAAAAGAATTGCTATTAAATAAATGGATTAGTTTATATAATAAGGTAATAAATAAATCATGTTAAAATATATTGTGCGTTGAAAATAAACTAAGTGGATTTAATATTATGTGTAAGAATTTTGATGATTCAATTTAATAAATCGATTCAATATGTTCAGTATATTGAAAATATATTTTTGGGTATTTAAATATTGTGTTTAAACATTTAAAATACGCATGTTTTCGATGTTTTAAGTGAAATATCCAAATAATTAAATTAATGTAGTTAATATTTTTATATCTAGCAATATAATATGTGTATTAAAATTATATATAACTTTTCAAATGTTAAATAATTAAATAATCCAATACTAGTGCTATATAATAGGTAAAAGGTATTTTACTATTTATTAGCTTCAATTCGCAGCTTAAATTTTACAGAAAATATCTTGAAGTGTTTTTAAATGCTTAATAATAAATGTTGATATGATTATTTTT